CCTACCTACCTACCTACCTACCTACCTACCTACCTACCTACCTACCTATCTATCATCTCTTCTTTGTTTCAGGTGGTTCAGAGAAAAGAGTCTCATAATTATCGATGCCTCTTCAGAGTTTGCTTTATCCCCAGAGATCCATTGCATCTTTTGCAGGAAGATCCAGTGGCTTTTGAATATCTCTACTTGCAGGTGATGTGGGAATACACTATGAGCTTTTCTGACTTGGTTAGGCTTCATCAATAATTAGCATAAACCCAAGTATCATACAAGTTTATTCATCCATAATAATGTTGGTGCCTTCACATAATGAATATACACATGAGTATAACACAACACTGCAAAACTCTAATAATACTTTTCCAATTGTTTGAACATTTGGAATCATTCAAGATTTAATCTATTTCAGAAATTTTGACTTTAATTTTACATGCATTTTATAATTACAGTGACAAACAGGAAAAAATAAAGGCCACATTGTGTGTCCAAATGTGATATATGTGCAGAAATAAGAATGGGGTAATGATGGATAGTAAAATGAGGTTGAAGAATGTATAATTGTTTCAGAGTGCAGATAATTTTCCATGAGTGCAGTTCTCTTTGTGACAGTAGGAAGAAGCTTGACAAATTTAACAGGTCAGTAAGAAAAGAAAAGCATTCTTAAAGGCCTCATACCATCATTTGTTGATTTAAAATTTGCATCTCAGGTTTAGAGAAAGCTAGCTTTCACTGGGGACAATCTACATACTTGTGAAACTTGTTAAATGCTTTTCACTTTAATGTTCAATCATCCTTGGATTCCGTTTCCACCCTATATTTTCAATATCATCCCTTGTTAAGTGAATAAATGAAAAAAATATTTAAACAACAAACTGAAAAGTTCAAGAAATTCTTTACCAGTGATTGCTCTCTACCCTATTGTCAAAAAAGATAACAATATTCTAATATGTTTCTTAGATATGGACCCTTACATAGAAATGTTCATATATTACCCCTACTCAGATAAACACATAGGCTGCAATCACACTAACGTTTATGTAATGTGTTCATATATTTTCTTTCTTTATGAGAATAAATCACAATTAAAACAGCCTATATTAGGTACTTGTTCGTGTGTTGATTGCCTAGCATAATGTCGCAGCAGGAATGTAATGGATGGTTTATGGTTGCCAGAATTCCTTCTGCTCTGTTTAGCTATCCTGTTTCCTTGAAAATAAGACCTCCTTGGATAATAGGCCCAATCGGACTTTTAAACACATGCACTAAAATAAGCCCTCCCCGAAAATATTGCAACATAGCAGCAGCCATGAGTTGACCACGCTCG